CATCAATGTCCTCTTGGCTTCCTTTTGATGTAATGCAGAAAGAAGCCTGTATGTGTGTTGCGCCCTGCACATTTACTTCTCTATGCTGTGCCACAGCAAAGATTCAAATGAGATAATTTTGTTTAAAATACTTAAAGAAATACATAATCACGTTTTCATTGTTGCTTATATAGCACAGAATTTTAAGTGTCAAACATATCACTATAAACATCAGCAGAGATGGGCTATTATTGGATTTCACATCAGAGGCTATGCATTAGCAGACAGTAAGCGCTTTGGGGTCCTTAGATACTAAGTAAAGCGCTATACAAACACAGGCCATTTACCATTTAGCAAATGGTTTCAAAAGACACTGCTCTTGCAGCTGGTACATAAAGGTAGTCTGCACAGAAGTAAGACAGATATAAGTTGAATGGTACAGGATGAGCAACATACATTATTTGTTCTTCATGGTAGGAGCAACCAAACATCATCCAAAACTCTGTTCGAAGTTAAGTTTCCTCTGTATTAAGGATCCAGACCAAAGCCCAGTTCCAAAGACGCTGGAACTCTGTGTAAAATATAAACAATATTTCACTTTATTCATATTTTATTCACACAAAACTGTTTGAAAATTGTTTAAACTGAGATGTTTTACCATTTCATGATATATATTGGCTCATTTTGGAATTGACAACATGTTTGAGACAAGAATAAGTCCCCCCGAAAAGTTGGGATGGCACGCAAAACGCTGGAAAAGTAAGTGATACTAAACAAGTTAACTGGCAACATGACTGAGTGCACAAAAAGCAGCTTAGCTTGCCGAAAATCAAATCAATAAATTAAGTAGTGTTTGGTTATTTTTTGTCATTGTCATAAATAGGGTTAAGACCAGGGGCGATTCTAGGATCAGAGGCTTGGGGATGCTGAGCACCCAGAGAGCTGCCCATCCAGGCAAGGTAAACTTTACTCGTCACGATGAGACTTCTTCCCTGTCTCTGTCAGTCCCTGCATCCTTAAATGTCTCCAGTTGTCCCGAGTTCCCTCTGACTGTCTCCTTGGTGCATTTAAACCCCTGTTCCTCCCTGTCATCGTCTGTTGTCTTCATCTCCATTATCAGTCATCATAATTTTACCCTCTCTGTGCAAGTCTGCGAATTTCTTTATTAAATCATAAGATTCTTAAATTCATCAAGTCTCTCTGTGCCTGGGTCCTCGTCACAAAACATGACATCACTGTTTTGTACATTTTAACACAATTTAATCCCCACATTTGTGAAAGAAAAGCAAAACACTTTTTTCAAAAGTCTGTAACAAAACCATCAAATCTGATAAAGGTTATTTAAATGCTGCTAAAGACTACTACAGCAAAAGAAAAATGTATTGGAATTAAAAAAAAACATATCCTAACGTTAATTACTGCGGGAGAATAATGAATGATGCTCATAGTGAGTAAAAAGTAAACTGAGTGCACTTTTTGGACAGAGATTCACTTTTAAAGTGTATGTATAATATAATACAGATACATAAAAATACACTCCAAAAATAGAAGAGTCCTTGAAATGTACAAAATATTATTAAAAGATTAAAAAAATGGAGACACCGTGTCACCTTGAGGTTGGCAAATCTGTCTAACTGAAGGTTAAATGCAATTATATGTCCTGTTTTAAGCCAGGCACTTCCACCTCCGCTCAGCCACCATCGCTCTGGCAGCAAGGGCGCTGCTGAAGCACCCCCAAAAATAGGCTAAAATCGCCCCTGGTTAAGACAACATATGATCTGATGACTAAAGGTGACTACAGCAGTAGATGTGGTCTTTTCAATCATGTCACATGATCTCTATCAGCAGGTTTGTAGAATTGTTAAACTTCTGTTTATTTGGGTTTAAAAAATCTCAGGGAAGTCTCAAGAAACGCAGCAGCTTGTTTAGTTTCTGCTCATGCCTTCGTGCCTGAGGCGCTGACACAGTATAAGGTGGCACTGCCGCCCTCTAGTGCTAAAACTATTTAATGCCACCAGCTGTGTCGCTGCTGACCGCAAAGGCTGAAAAATGTGACGTGACAGAGAAAACCGAAATGACAGAATTAAGCGTCTGCAGGGTGAAATCTCTCAGTACTTCCTTTTGGAAAACCTTTAGATTTTTAGTCACATGATTTTATTATGTCTTTTGCCTTTCAATTATATTGTACACCAGTTTAAAAAAAGAGGTTAGGACAACATGTAATCATCACTATCCTATAACACAAAGTCAGTTAAACTTCAGTGATGTCAGTCAGACCACTGTGGATCCATTTTTACCTGCTGTGGTGAAAATTAAAGTCTTTTTTTCAGATTTGCTTTTTTTTTAAAGTGTCTTTGTAGCTTGAGATGGTGTATTCAGCTAGCCCAGCACCCAGCGTCAGAGATAAGCCATCACATGGGTGTAGAGGGCATCAGTCCAGCAGCAGGCCCAGTATTTACTCCTCTGTTCAAGAAGCAAGAGGAAGATGATTACGAGGGTCCCACAGAATGACCTCCATTGAGAACCCATGTGCATGTATTTGGTGGAAATGTTAGAAACAGAATCTGTGAGCATGGAATCAGAGCATGGGCGGGGAATTAATTTCCCCAAGAGGCTGTATGAGAAATCAGGACTCAAGGTGGGGCCCTCCACAACAATCCCAGTTTCTCATGTGGACTCTTGGGAAATATAATTGCCATCCCTGCTTCAGAGGGACGTGCTCACAGCCCAGCACGGTGCAGATCAACTGACATTCGCCAGAGAACATCAGAACTGGCAGGACTGCCACTGGCGCCTTGTTGTCGTCACAGATGAGAGCAGGTTCACTCTGAGCACATGTGACAGATGCCACAGCATCTCCAGTCTCTTTCATATGTGCACACTGAACTATGACGATTGATTTTTCCCAAATTTTATTATTTTCCCAGTTTAGTTCAACTTTCTGTTTTTCCCTCTTCTTTATTATCTTTGTTTGTGTTGATTATGTTCAGCTGTTCCTCTTTCCTGATATAGAAACATGAATTAAGCAGCTGCATCTTAACAATATGGTCGCACTATAATATATAAGATTCAACTTTGAAGTAATGCAGCCGAGAAAAAAAATGCAGAATAGTTATAACCGTTTTAATCTGTTGAGTGGTGAATGTAAATACTGTCCCTTGTTCTAAAGTCACCTTTTTGATTAAGGATATAGAGAGTGGACCAAACCACTGTGACCCACAGGAGGGGGGAGTCCACTTTTTTCATCTTCAAAAGTTGGTTTTCTTACCACAAGAGCTGCCAGTGCTTATTACTAATATTTAGTATCATAAAGGTATCCTTCTAATATTGCATTGAGGAGGACGAGAGAGAAAGCTGATCTGGACACCCTCGCCTTACTCAGAGTTTGCACCCCTGTTGCATTGTCTGTCTGACTCAGCAAAGATGATATTGGATGAACAATAAAAGGAATCATGAAAAGATCATAACATAGTTTTTAATGGTGGGAATTGAGCATTACAAAGCAAGCACAGACTTCATCTATCTGTCATTCACAGATAAAATCCCTGAAGAGATAACAATGCATTTTATGGATTATAACAGCATGCTTCGTGAGCACAGAGGACTTTAAAAAAAAGGTTTTCCATCATTACTTTTAGGGAAACGTCCACACGGAGATAATGGTAAAACTAAACCCATTCTTCTCTGCAAACTGGAAAAAATAATACAGGAAAATATCCTATTGGAACCTAATGAAACAAAACAGTAATGTGAATAAAAGCGTTTTGGCTGCTATCATAAAAAGAAACACCGTTTGCAGTTTACTGTATCCCCTGAACTGAAGTGGTGAAACGAGTTTTGATGGTTATTTCTGCAGTGAACATGCAGGTCTTGTGTGTCGAGCCTTTTAACTGTTAAACATTCCCAGTGAAAATGCTGCCATACAGCAGCTTATCCACAAATCAGCGTTTTACATAATGTTCGTGTCAAATTTTAAAGAAAACTAAGAAGAGGCTGTGAACCAATCACTGGGTCTGACCGGCCTACATAATGTGTCAAAGGCTGAAAAAGCTAACAATACTGCATTCTGTGGCCAAGTTATGTCACTGGTCAAGTAGTACTTGTAGTCATACTGGGAAATTCATAATAATGCACTTAGTATAAGGGACAGTCGTTTTTCTTCATCCTCAGAACTCAAGCAGAGGTGTGATGGTTTTTATAATCTTGAAAGCAATCAGAAACTCAAGAACTGTCACACACCATAAATACCTATTGATAAATATCTTCTGTAGCCTGCGGACTGTTGTGGAATATACAAAAATAAATTAATATATGGAAATAAATGCAAGGAGCTGTAATGGTAACGTCACCATGCACTGGAAGGTTTCAGTCAAAGAGAAAATAAATGAAAGAAAATGTTGAGAATCTTTGACGTTTCCACAGATCCTATCAAATGTTGGTGTAAAAGGACAAAAAACTCAATGTGCCGTTTCATAAAATCC